TTATCAGAGCTGGAGATCAATCCTCATTAGCATACTGCTCCCTAGCAACCAGAACATGAACAGGACATCTGTTGTTCTGTAATCGCTTTCTGTCAAACAAAGCAGAAGAACAACATATTATCTTATTACCTGTCCTTCTGCTCACCTTTTGACCTGTCTCATAAAAGTCACTCAGTGTTGATTCATCCTAGTGACTTGATTTTTGAATCTGTTAACCAAAAACATGAATCATTATGCCACTAGGTGGACTAGCAGGTGGATTATAATAGCTGGATTATGGGATATATTTTTTCCATTTAATAACATATTCATTCTAAAACACTATAACTTAACGAAATAAAGTGGATATTATTAATATATTGATTTATTTTGTTGGTTTGAATGTTTGTCAAGATGAGGTTTCGTATCTTCTAGTGCGGGTCATTTGGTACACTACAGTGAATCTTAAGCAATTCAGTGGTGCTTCTTTTAGACACTATGCCCAAACAATTGAAGTTAGACAGGCTTCAAGCATTCATATTTTTAAAAAAGCAAGTTAAGATTAAGGTACTTATATTGATATCAATATTTATTGATCTTGATATTGTGTAAAAACCCATTGTCAGTGTTCTGTGTTTTTATGTTTGTAATTTACCTTTGCCCTTTGAGCTGTTTATGTATGAAAAGTGCTATAAAAGAAAGTTTTATTATTAATATTACTCATATTTTTAATTCATGTATAAACTAAAACAATGATTACTGTGAATGTAAAAAAACAAATAAATTCTCCTCTTAAGGATCCACCTATATTTATATTGTTTGTCTTTCACAGGTTTTGACAGCTCTGTGGGCAATAATCTCTGAGAAAGACAAATTTATTTATGAATTAAATGCAATTCAGTCATCATTTCTGTTTAATAGCTTCAACAAAGCAAAACTAAACTCTTTTCAAACTATCCCTAATTGGAAATCTCTGTACTGAGAGATTTGAGAAATGGTGTGCAAGTACCATAAGCATCTTCTACGCAAATCAGTTAGCCTCCATTAAAAGCATTTTCAATAGGCTACTCTGTTTTCGTCATTTTTATTGTGTATTGACATCATTCATTCATTTATCCACAACCACATTGAGGATTGTGTGCACAAGTAAATCTGGTCTTCAGTGCACTTTCTTTTGTCCCCTTGCTGAACTGAATGTACAACACGCCTCCTTTATTTCAATCATTGTCTGTCAACAAACCGTTACTCATTGGTAAAATTAGCTTCATACTGGAAAAGCTCTTATGTTGCTGAGCTTCCATCATGGTACTGAAAAATGTTAGTTAGTTAGTTCACTAGCATCGCTCCCCAGGACTGCATGGAAGTGAGCAAGAACGATTAATTCACTTCATTCATATCAGAGTACAGCGAAGCAAACTCATCCATCTTTACAGTGATCCAGCTTCATTTATCTTCAATGCAGTGTTGAGGTAAATATGAACGTCATCCTGACCATTCTCAAAGGTCAGAATACAAGACGCCATTTATTTACTTGCGAGCCATGTTTTGTAAGTCATTACTACAGTCCGTTGTGGTGCATGCTGGCTGGGATGTTATCAGTCTCATTTCGTGGGCAGGTTGAGGAATGGTGTTGTTAGCTAAAGAGCCGCCTGAAGGTTAGTGTTCATATTGATGGATGAAGAAGGGATTTAGCTTATTTCTGTAGCGTTACCCTCACACCATGGAAGAAATACCAACAAGTCAAGCGTAGGGAAATGACCCAGCCTCACAAACTGTTCATTATAAAATAAAACCTGAAGGAAATTACGGTCCTATCTCCTTTCTCAAAGCTCTTTGTTAAATTCACTCTTGTGTCCTTTTTCCCCTTTTCCACGCCCCCTCCCTTGGGTTCAGGTGCTTCTATTGGCTTACTTCATTAAGTGGAAGCTGATTGTCTTTTCCTATGGGACCTTTTTGTGATATATGCAATAAGGCTGAGTGAGGGATTGTGGGAAACCAGTGATTAACTGTGGATATTCAGAGGGGCACTGTTGGTTCAGAAGCCGTTGCTTTCTCAGGCTTGCTACAGAAACTCTCGACAATGGAAACTTTTAAATCTGAGAAAGAATTGTTACTCATCTATCATGCATTGTTGTCATCCCACGCACCATTTTCCATTACAGCCACTAGATAACTTATGACAAATGTGCTATGAAATATGAGGCTTTTCTTGGCTCGCTTCATTTCAAAGCAGATGTTTCTGAGGGCACTCTCTTAGAAGCAAGTCTCCTACAGCAGTGCACTAAGCTGGTAATTAGCTTTGTTTACACTCTGAAGAAGCTTTTCTCTATTTATCCTCCTCTTCCTTCTTTGAGAATGATTGATAATAGAGATACTTTTCACATCATTAAAGAAATAGTTCACCTTAAAATGAATATTATTTACTTGCCGTTGTGTTGTTGCAAACCTGTATGACTGATTTTCTTCTGTGGATCTGTGTTTGTATTTATTTATTTAGATTATTATTTGTTATGAATTTCCTGGCCAATCTTTTTAATATAATGAAAGTAAATGAAGACTGAGGTTTTAAATAAGCCACAAAAGTCAAGTTTTCAGTGATTAACGGCTTAAAGTTAGGTCTGTTCCTTACACAAAGTTATCAAATGGCTTAAAAGGACTCAGAATATACTAATATGTACCAATTTGATGATAGTTTTTGTGTACTTTTTGAAACTCGACGGCTTCAGTTCTCTTTCATTGTCACTGCATAGTTTGACCATTTTATTAAGGGAAATTTCTCCTTTTGTGTTCCACAGAGGAAAGAAATTAAAAAAAGGGGTGTGGAATGGCGTAAACAAGATGAGTGAACCTTTCCTTTAGGAATATAATAATAATACTGCCGTTTGCATTTGTCAGTACTGTTTGTATTCCTGTCACCACATTCGTATTCAGCTGGAAACCATAAGTAACATTACAGAGCTAAATGTGTTAAAGGTCCCATATTGTCAAAACTGAAATTTCCTGGCTTTTTTCACGATTACTGAGGTCTAGGGGCTATTTAACTACCATATAAGTTTCAAAACAGTCAGTCCACAGTAAAATGCACACAGCCTGCTTAAAGTTCTAGCTATTTTTCACGAACCGTTGTGACTTCCGTAAAAAGTTGACGTCAGAACTACACAGTCACTGCCTTCAGTCACCACCCCGAGCACCGCCCACCGTCCCATTCTCCTTTTGCCAAACCCCCAGACAACATCGCGTCCATGCTGAGGTGGATCATATCTAACGTGTATAGTAAAGACAAACTCACCAGATCGGCCGACCTGTAACGTTACACTCTCACTCAAAGGATGGACGATCTGACAGGATTGTTACTATGAGGTGGATCACATCTAACGTGGGTAGTAAAGACAAACTCACCGTGTCTATCTAGTCATGATGAAGATTTCAATTTCAGCAGGCAACAGTTTTTTCAGCTACATTATTGTTCCAGCCACAATTAATCATAACAATGTATATACAATTACAAATGATTATATATAAATCGTCAGTTTGTTGTTTTACACACATGCACACAGACATTATTTCATACACGACATAGTTGTGAGATGCAAGAAACATAGACATATGGCAAGAAATCTGTAGACGCACCCATAACAACAAAAGACAATACTTTATTTAACCTTTTCTGATAAGAAGTGTGCGCTGCAAACGCGAGCATTTTTGACGATCCTTTCTGTCCAGTCTGCTCGTTTTATCGCGTTTAACCACAGCTGTCGTCGTTTTTTTGTCTGGCAGTGTCAGCAGATATGCGATGAAATTTCTAATTTGAGGCTGTATTACCTTGATTCTGGCACCCAACATCACAACAAGATGATATTTTAAGCTCCTTATGTAGCCGAATCTGCGCCGGTTTGAATGGGCCACCTCCAGTTTCCCCTTTGTTTTGCTGACTCCAGCTAGCGCTGTGACGTCGGCTGACCCTAGTTACCTGTGGTTGGCCTGGCCGTGCGTCACTCAGAAAACAACAGGCCAATCAGAAGAGAGGCTCATGAATATTAATTAGACAGACCAAAATCGACCTGTTCTCAGCAGAGCTCCTGAGAGAGGAGCTGTAAAAATATATTGAGATGATTTTTGGTACTTATACCGCAAATATATATTCTTAAGGACATCAAAACCTAAAATAAAACTCCAGAAAGGTGTACAATATGGGACCTTTAACACACATGGTTCAATCAACAACAAATACAGAGAAATGTATCATAGTATTTGCCTGTTCTTTAAAGTGAGATATGTTTATGCAACAAATGTATGTACTAGATTTATAATTTGTATACTTTTTTCTTTTTTTTGGAGGTACTTCTTTTGGGCATCTGTGATGTCTGATTTGTGAACTAACTGTTCTTTTGAACTTCTGGTTCATTTTAATGATTTGGTTGAACCGATTCTCAACATACTTGTAAATCACTTATTAGGGAGAAATTAAGGTGTAAAACTAATTAAAACTAAACTAAACTAAGTTCATTGTTGTATTTAAATCATAAATGCATGTATCATAAATAAATCCATGCATCATAAAGCGATTGTATCGGATTTCTAATCAGGCACCAAACAGAGTACCCATCATTTTTTTAACAAGTTTAAAAGTTTGCACAATGAGTGCTGCATTTTTAAGATGGCATGTGAAATTGAAAACATCTTTTTTTCTTTTCTTTTTCTTTTTTGGATGCTTGAATGCATCCTGTGAATGTTAAGAAACATATCTAATTTGGGTCTGGTGGACCCTAATTAGACATGTTTTCCTTAAGATCAGCTAGTCAACTAGTCATTCATACCACCCACCAACAAATGCATTATGAAAATATGCAGTTTTACCGATCTGTAGGATAGATGAAAGATTACGCATTCTTGTTCGGAATGAATAATGCTCCTTTTTCTCCCAGTTAATTGGTCCTTCTGCGTGTGGTTGCCATTATGCATGAGCATTTACAAATCCTTTAAAATCCATTTACAAATCTCTCTTGTTTTTTTCTCTCCAGTTTGTGGCGCAGCCAAACTGTCAGCAGCTCTTGGCCACACAATGGTATGACGGCTTTCCTGGCTGGCGGCGCCGTCACTGGGCAGTTAAGCTGGTCATGTGCTTCATTATCGGCCTGCTCTTCCCTGTCTTCTCGCTGGTCTACCTGCTGGCTCCAAAAAGCACACTGGGGCTCTTCATCAAAAAACCCTTCATCAAATTTATTTGCCACACAGCCTCCTACCTCACCTTCCTCTTCCTTCTCCTTCTGGCTTCACAGCATGTGTGTGTGTGAGTGTGTGTGATGATAAATGGTCCAAGCCATATAATTTATGTTCTGTTTTGTGTTTGGACATGTTCTCAAGAATTACATTTACAAGCCATAAATGTTTGTGTGAATGTTCGTGTCTAAGTGTATTAGTATTTTATAGTATGATTTCAAAACGTGGGAATTTACTGTAAAAAAAAAAAAAAAGTTAATTAAAAAGATTTTTTACAATTGTAAATAAAACAAAGAGTATCTTTTACAAGAAAATGGTATTTTGTTTTTTCTACTTTTTACACTTTTTTCAGTGTTACTTTCTTTTTTTCTTTGTAATTGTTTGTGAAATTTTCTAATTATTGTTCTAAAATTGTTCTTTTTTACTTTTTTTCAGTGTAGAGGGTGAATTTATTAGACAGTTAATATTGTGGTCTTAGTCCCAGTAGAGAACATAATTTAAAGCAAGAAGAGCTCAGCCATGCCTGGCACTGAAATCCAGCCTTATTTCTCTGCCCACTGAAACATGGAATTGAGGGATGGTGCTGAGGGGAGAAGGCATCTCGTTCCACCCTCAAGTGAAGTTATGCAAGGCAAAAGCTCAGGAAATGTCTTAAGAACCTGTTAAAACTTTGACTCAACTGCCTGGAATAAGGCATATCCAGAACAAAAAATAATGGAAGAACTTCCCCATGCTATAGCTTCCTCATTCTGCATCTTTTCCATTATTATTATTATATATATTTTTTTGCATCTGTTCGTCTGTATTGTTACAGCACTTGATTCACTCAAGGAATTATGCAGATTAGGTAATGGTGCAAACACACCCACAAAATTAGTGTTAATTGCAATTTGCATTGCAATTTTTATTGCACCACTGCAATCCAGGCATTTGAATCGACTCTTTAAAATTCAAAATTGTGCTCGACTACACAGCACATCTGTATACATGACAGTTATCAAACTCTTTTCCATCTTTTGATCATCATTTGATGAATTACTGCTGCCATGATCACTGGAAAATGTACACAAACATCCCTTTTAAATACAATTACCGTAATCTCCTGTAGGTGGTAATAGCACAGTGTTAACTGCATCAGGCAAATAAGCCAATCCATTCACGTATATGAATCCGATCCATTGAGCCACATTTGCATAAAAAGGAGGCTTATTTGCCCAGAAACAAATGACAGTGACTTGGCAATGAATTTAAATATGCATGATGCAGCGCTATACCATTGCATTTAGCACCTGGTTATGTTGGACTGTGGGTGTTAAAGTACGTGAATAAGGCTAAAAATGGACTCTACACAAATGTGCAAACAGCCAACTATCTGTAAGTATGGTCCCATTGTACATACACTAATGATTAAAAATGTATAAAATAAGTAGCACTACCGTTTTCAACACTGATAATCATAAGCATTGTTTCTTGAGCAGCAAATCAGTATATTAGAATGATTTCTGAAGGATCATGTGAAATTGAAGACTAGAGTAATGATGCTGAACATTCAGTTTTGCCACCACAGAATAAACTTTTAATTTATTATAGTAATAATAAACTAAACATACATAGTCATTTTTACTATTTTTGAATAAATAAATGCGTCCTTGGTGAGCATAATGCCGAGTTCACACTGCATGATTTTCAAACTCGTCGGATCGCCGTTGTTTTCACACTGCGTGACTATCTGGGGTAGCATTCAGTTGCTGCTGTGTTCACATTGCACGATGGATCGGCGACAGGGGGTTTCACACTGCATGACTTCACAATAGGAAGAATCGCCGACAGCTCTGTCTGGTCCGCAAACTACGTTTCACAACAAAACACATGCGAGAAGTGATAAGGAAATAACGCGAAAACCCGCGTGCGTCAGACCGGAGTTCTCGAGTGAGACTGGAATTATTAAAAATATATATATAGCCCGCAAATTGTCTGTGAGCTGATTTCCAGCTACAAGGAGAAAAAGAAAAACAGATCTGCAATTTCGCAAAACCTGTCGGCGAGTGAAAAATTGGGCTAAAATCGTGCAGTGTGAACTCGGCATAAGAGTCTTGCACTACTATTGCATTGTTTGCATAACTAGAAGCAATTGTGTGTAACATACTTGTGTAAAGTACATTTTAAACTTAAGACACAGGGTTTTGCACTTATTTCAAGGCACTAAATGGGAACAACATAGAGTTCTAACAATGAAACTAAAGGATAAATAATGAATAATATTTCTGAATGTTTTTTATTTCCTCTCCAGTATAACAGTTCTCGTCCACGAGAGGAATGGGAGATGTGGCATCCGACACTGATCGCTGAGGCTTTATTTGCCATTGCTAACATCTTCAGCTCACTTCGGCTCATCTCCCTCTTCACGGCCAACTCTCACCTTGGCCCGCTGCAGATTTCTCTTGGCCGCATGCTGCTGGATATCCTCAAGTTCCTCTTCATCTACTGTCTAGTGCTGCTGGCCTTCGCTAATGGACTCAACCAGCTTTACTTTTACTACGAGACCGAGGCAGCAGATGAACCCAGCCACTGCAAGGGGATCCGCTGTGAGAAACAGAACAATGCATTCTCTACGTAAGTTTATTACTTATCTATCATATTATGTTATATATTTAGAAAGCTATTGGAGGCCCTTTTTAAATAGTTTAAATATAGAGTGTTGCATTGATGATGTGTTTTTGTAGGCCAACCCTGAAGTTGGCATCACCCTGGTTTCTGGTTCCCAAAAGGATTGTTCCATTTATTTTTGTATTATTGCAGAAAAAAAAAAGTTTATGATTATTACACATTTTTTGTCATAGTAATCTTCACAAATGAATACAACTTTTATGAATTTTGAAGCATATATACTAAATAAAACCATCAGAAGTAAAAAAGCTAAATGATAGGCTATAAACTAATTCTACCACGATCAAAAGACTTCACTGCCACTAGCTTAGTAGCTTCTGACAACTCTTCCATTTTCCCTCAAAGTTTGAGTTAAAATAGTTAGCAAATATGCAATTATAAACACAAAAATGCTGTACAAGTAGACTAGTGAGTAGATGAGTTTACTTGTTCTTGTGTAATGATGTTTAATGTCCTCAACAACCTCTGTAGTTCAGTTTAGCCGCTTGTTAACAGCCACCAAGGTAAAAACGTAAAAAAATAAAAATAAAAAAACACAGGAAGGTAGGTTACTGATGTATTTTATGTTAGAATAATACAACGTGAAAATATCTTGAGCTTGTGTTAACCACAGACCTTATTTCAGGCATTTAACCAAAAACCCATTTTTTTAAAAAAGCATTGACTTTAGGGTGATGAAACGGGAAGTGCTAAATGCTAACTCATTTACATCATCCCTTACAACATACATTCATCCTTTCCTGCACTGCAGCTCCAGGTCAGCTTCAGTCAATGCCTGATAGGGCAGCGCTGATGCTGCTTCTGAATATTTATCAAGACCTCTTGCTTTTCCAGTGATTTGTTGATCAACACGTCAATAACCACACAATCATCCAACACTGCACAATAATGCAGGTTCAAGAATCACCTCATGAATATTTATGAGAGCAAATGTTGAGAAAGAAGAAACTAAATCTGTGCTGTGTCTCAGACTACAAAACTGCAGCTGCTCTGTGAAATATAAACACCTGAAACACAAAAAACCTGATGTTGTTGAAACGTCTGGGGATTTTCTTGCATTTCCATCAGAATTCAGTTTATTTGCCTGCAGCTGCATATGAGCTGTATGTGGCATTACCACACCGATATATCAAATCCCTTAACCCATATCACATCAGAAGCAGCACGAGCTCCTTCAGGCTTCCTGTGGTGTTTCTCTGAGGTTCAGTCACTGAAGCTCTCCTTCACAGATTAAAGTCTTTGACATTCATGTGGCTTGGGCCTTTCAAAAAGTCACAAAAAAAAACTAATTTTTTCTATTAGCTTCTTTTATTTCTTCTTCTTTTTTAAAAGCCTGTATTGGGAAAATATGTACCATTTAGATACTAATATTTACACTTTAGGTACTAAAATGACCTTTTAAGGTTCTAATATGCAACCTTATTACATTTTGGGTACTGCCCCAGTGACAGTTTTCGTACCTTGTTTAATTTTTTTCGTAGAGCGTAGGTTAAGGAAAATAAACTTCAAAATATATTCTCTGAAAACAGATATTCTGAAATAACTGAGAATTATATTTTACATTTAATATAACTGAATTTAAATAATTAAATATTTTATGTATCCTGCTTTTTTACTGGAAAAATTCTGCTTAAAAAATTCAGCTTTTTTTTTTTTTTTCAGTGCATAGAGGCAAAATAGATTTCTGAGGCCAGATTTTACACACGCCAGTATGCTCAGAACATATTCATGTCTTCTCTATATTATTTTGGCCTTTCAATTCGAAAGCTTCAAATGCCAAGTGTTGGCTGAAACGGCACTGCATGTGGAGGGCTGCTGGCTCTAGTGGGCTGCCAGTTGTTATGTCACTATCTTTGACAAGTCAGTGAGGTGCTTGAGGCAAACCTGTGTGCCTCCATTAGGGCTTCACCATGGCAGGTCTGTCACGGCAGTCCTGTGGTTAAAGTGCTGGCCACGCTTTATTTTTTATTAATTTATTATATCAGTGACATTGAATGCACCAAAAATATAACATGGATGCAACCTTCTAAATCCAGCCAATGTGTTCAAAATGGACACCACTATTCACAGCTTGTGCACAGATATATCGATGCCCTCCTCGGAAATGTCATGCCCATTTAAACTGGGGTCACTTACCTTACTTACCTTGTCACATTTTTAGCCACATGGATTTAAAGAAATCAAGCATCAAGTGTTAATCACAAGCATATCAAAATCATATCAAGCATATCTGTTTGTAGAGCGTTTTCTTTCAATTAATACTGAAATATATAATATACATGAAATTACCCTGTAGCAGATTTATACAGGTGGAGCTGGGGAAGGCGAAGGGTTTCTGAAGCACGCTGCAACTGCTACAGCAAGCACTAGCTGAGTATTTGAATGTTGAGCTGCAAGCTTATTGGCTGTTGATGTGATCATAATGAGTTAGAAACTATTGACCTATGCCATCTAGAGTTTCATGACAGAACTGTTTGTATGTATGTATATATATATATATATATATATATATATATACAGTCAAACCAAAATTTATCCAGACGCCATCAACATTTCACACATTATCACGGTTTATTCACTATAGTTTAGAAAATGGTAATAAAATATGACAAGAGTTAAACTGTGTCAGAACAAATTCATCTTGATAATGTCAGATAACACGTAAAGGTGACATATCATGAAAATCTGACTTTTCCAGGTTTTAAGTGCTATAATCAGGTCCCCAGTGCATTTACCAACCAAGGAAACGTGAAAAAGATTAACCCAGTAACTTTTTTTTGGTAAGCCTTTTTCTTCAAGCTCTGAGAAAATGAACGCTATACTATTACTGCCCCTTAATCTGTACATTTCCACCCACGGCGCCGTTATTGTGTTTTTGCAAGCAACAACGGTGTATTAGTTCTAATGCCATGGCGAAAATTTGAACAAAACATGCTAACTGTTCTGCCTTTGGCTGCACTGACAAGCACAGAACACTATTTAGAGTCCCAGCCTCAGAGGAGATGAGAGCAGAGGATTTATTTATTTATTTACTGTATATTACACTGCTGCCACACAGATCTAAAATAAACATGCGATTTATTTCCGAGCTGTTTACCTTCACAGACATAACCAACTGTTTTTTTGTAACTCATGTGTGTTTTTAACATAAATTTGTGTGTGAATGAGAACTTAGTTTAGTACTCACATGCTGTGACAGCCGCTTTCTGTACATGTGCTTCGGATATGTGCACTCAGAAAACCGTATATCAGAAGTTTAAACTAATATGGTTTAAAATGCATGATTTCAGCG